AAATCACCGTCAGTCTATGTAGAGAAATATAAAACTTCGTTTAGAACGATACAGTTTGTCCAATTATGGCGTTAAAATGTTTCCTAAATTGACCTTCTTGATCTGTGCAAACTTTTCCAATTTTGAGAATCCATACTTTAATTGAACTTTTCATGCTAGCCGCATCTGAATCATCCAGCAATTTAGATAATTCTTCTTCTTACAGAAGATGGAAAATCAAATCGCCGCCGCGATTTCGCCATCTCGTTTTGTTTTGTTTTTCATTATTGGAGAAGAGAGAAAATGCACACAATCGGGATAAAAGGCTGTATTGTCTGACCGTTTATACATATTCATGTTTTTGCAAACCTCAGCAAAATGTTTGCTTTTACTAAATGGAAACAAAATACGATGGGGGGGGGGGTGGGGGGTCGGATGAAATGGACTAAATGAACCAATGAGAAGTGATCTATGATAATTCATGCTTCTTATTCTTCGTGTGCTTGACTTATAATCTTAACATCGCTTGGTAAACTGGGTCCAAAGTTCGACCTGTTTCACATGTGTATTATAGGCAATGACGAATTGCTTAGCCTTATGATGAAAAAGCTACTGTCTATCAAACATTGTAACATTATGATCGGCATAATAAACGTTCGTGAACTCCCTCCTCTTAAAATGTAACGGTCGATAATCGAACACATATAATCACATGTCCACTTGTCTGTTTTCCCTTGGCAAAGTTTTTCCTTGGCAAAGCCAACTCGAAAAATTCCTTTAATTGAATTACTGTCGAATCTAATGAAAGTAACAATCGTTTTTGGTTCAAACTTAAAGAGGTAATAATCAAACGCCTCACCTGGTTTGTGGCATGTGACGATTGTTTTATTTTTCCTTTACAGTGTAGAAAACGTACAGCTTCAGTGGTGCACGACATCGTAAGTGCAACGGTACATACTGTCTTACTGTATGAGCTGCTAAATTCAAATGCATCCCACTACATTAGCTCCCCGAAACCAAGCTGTCGATAGATGTTCCAACTATACAGGTAATCCCTATGATAATATTAAATGTCCAGCTTATTTCAACTTACTAACTTACTTAAATTACTTTAAATGTATGTAACGACTTTCATATTTGTCATTTACTTATCCTCCTGAATACATGTCCATATGTACATTAATGGTTGACTTTTTGTTGTACTGAGCGAGGCGGGAAGATTCGCCGGCAATTCGCTCGAAGATGTCGTTGACGAAGCTGTTCCTTCAATCTAAAGCTTTAACAAGTTACATGCTTGTATGGTATATGTGGTTTCACCAGAGAGTGTAAGAGAGAATCGGAGGGGGTGCTAGCAGATCAACAACTTTAAGTAGAGCAACGCAACATTTAATGTTGGTCTTATATTGGTGTAGTCCAAATTTACAAAATGCAATTTGCCTCTTTGACCTCTACCCAGCCTGTGTACTGATCAGGTCCACGGATGAGCCGAAAACACACTTCATTTCAAGATTGAATGAGTATTTCATGCTGATCTCAATGATCATGCTTACTTAATTATTATAATGATTGGAATCAACTAATTCATCCTCTTTATTCTTGTCGAAATGACGAGATTGCATGTTTCTGCATAACTCACGCACATTTCAAATCAAAATGTTACAATGATAATGGCCTAAAGAAAGGAAATTGTTAGCAGTTGAACTACCATGTGGCTCCTCTCCCATCAAGCCAATATCAATATAAAATAATACTCAGCATTTAAAATTAGTAAGGTAAAACGACTCACCTAGTTTCTAACATCTGAAAAGTGTTTGTATCAGCTGTGAGGCAAAAAAGCTGTGTCATGTAGTTTGTGTGTCGCCATGGAAAACAATTCCACATTTGGCAACATATCAACGATTAAGTGCAAAGCTGTTCAACATTGTAATAACGTTATTCAAACTGCCATGTGTAAGCTTGACCTGGGCCCAGCCTGAATACTGATCGGGTCCCTCGACTAGTTTAATGCCCGCTTCACTTGGAACTTGACTCCATTGCATATTCTATGAACATTGTCGACAGCGCGAAACAGCCACTAATGAAAAAAAAATGAAAAAAATGAAGAGGCAAATTTAAACAAAAATGATAAGCTAAGAACGAAAAGAAATTATTTTGCTCGCGCTGCAGCGATCGCTTCAGCTTTTCTATCAGCGGCAAAGTGTTTGTACAAGTGTTAATATGTGTGTGTATACCGTGTGAGTCAAAAAAAAGTTTACACCTAGAAAATTGCTAATTATTTTTTAAATGGTATATGAACAGTGAATTATTATACATCTTATGAAAGAGTGTGTTATCCCAAATCGTTTGGTATCACTTTTGTGTGGAATGTGTTCACGCTTGGATTAACGGAAGGCATTGTTTGAGAGAATGCGAGAATGAGAGAAAATCGACTTGCGCCAAAGTGATGCCTAAAGTAGCGGAGTGAGAGAACGAATTGAATGTATCAAATGAAATGCATTGCATATGGTTTTTGTAGAAGCAAAGTCACACACATACACACACACACACACACACACACACGCACGCGCACGCGCGCGCACATAATGCTCGTTGATATTTGATTTTTGATATTTGATATGTGGTGTGGTATGATTAATTTTGTTAGAGATGTTAATTGTTTCTGCAAAAACCGAATTATTACCTAAATCCCAATTGTTTTATTCAAACATTACATAAGCAACTTTAGCGCAAGTCGAATTTTGCACTCACGCAAACAATGCCTCCTGTTCATCCAAGCGTGAACACATAACCCCCAAAAATGATACCAAATGATTCGGAATAAAACACTCTTTCATAAGATTTATAATAATTTACTGTTCATTGATAATTTAAACAATAATTGCCAATTTTCTAGGTGTAAACTTTTTTTGAGTCACACTGTATGTGCGCGTGTGGTTGTGCGTACCTCAACGAATGTCGCCTAGTTTACACCGATACTCGTTATCAAACAATATATATATATATATATATATATATATATATATATATCACATGATATTAGGATAATAAATCACTATCATAGCTTCTGATCACCATTTTATAAAACAAGTCCCATGTTCTTGCATTAATAAAATCGGTCACTTTGCATGTTTCTCTGATATCTTCCGTAACTATTTCATTCAAAATAAATGTACGGGTATTCTTTAACTTTAAACCTCAGAGAAGGCAAAGAAGGATGAGCTTTTATCACTTGCGGATAATAATTATTATCTCGACGTAGGGATGGTGGTGATATAACAAATCGCACACAGAAATTAAAAGTCGTATGAAGTCATTTCTGCTAATGAACGTAATTTATTTGATATCATTCTCTGTAGATTGACAACTACATATCAGCTACTGATTATTCTACTTCTTTACATTATACAATTTAATTTGTCGTATTTCGGTTGCAAGCCTGTGTATACATATACAATTCACCTGTGTAACGAATAACAAAGCAACAATCGAAAGATAAACCATTTTCTTGATGTTCAAGTTCTTTTAGTTCTTAAAAGCACTAGCATGAAGTGTTGTATATCCTATTATCGTTATCATTAATCTCCTTCCATTATTGTTATTAGTAGTAGTATTATTAGTATTAGTAGTTTAATTATTATTATCACTATCATTATCATCATAATTATCATTTTAGTTATTAAATTTTTAATTTTTACAATTGTAATTATTATTAATATTAGTGATATTAATATTATTATTATTATCGCTAACATTAATATTAGTCAATATCATTGTCATTTAACATTAATGTGAGGGAGGTTGCTATTCACTATGATTGTTAAAGGGTGTTTATTTAACCATTTATAAAAGTACTGCGTTTTTTCCAATACCATTATACAGAGGATGACATTGAAATATACGCCTATTGTTTTTATTATTAATTGTGTCACCAATATCATTATCCTTACCACTACCTTCATCGCCAATATTATATGATGCATGTATACATTTATATTTTGCGAGTCATTATGGTAAAAAAATCCAGGGTACCTTGCAAACAAATGATTTCCATTCGGTTCTGTGTTTGTTTATCTAAACATATATTTATATATCTCCTGTTCGTATATATATATTTCTAATTAAATTTCTTAATTATTTGTCACCTACTTAATTCTACTCCGTTTTTTTCCCAAGTTTAATTAGGTTCAATTTACTTACAATTCAACAAAGGGAATACAACGAGTTTTTGCAAAATAGGTTCTAGCTAGGAGTGGTACACATTTACAAGTAAAATATTTATACCCTTACAACGTTTCCATTTGCAAATTTTACTCAGCATGTAAATAACATATTTTTCCGATTTATTTTTCTTGAGAATATGACATATTAAAGCTTTCGTTAAAAAAGTTTTCTTCTAAAAGGTTTGTTTAACTAGTCAAATTTGTATTCTTGAGTTACGAAAACCAACGACAAAACAACGCTTAAAAAAAATAAAAAAATACAGAGAAGTATTCTTCTTTTGTTTTCATTGAGGATATCTCCTTTAGTATTAATGGATTCCTTGTGTATTAAATCTATCAATCAGCATAGTATCGTATACTTTGATAATAACCTGCCTATGTTTTAGAAAGACAATTATTAATATTTTTGTCAGATGATACAGCACAGATATGCAACAAGGCAAAAAGAAAGTGGCTTACTCTATCAACCAAAATGTAAGACAACGCAAGGAAATTTGTGTATTGTGTTTGTAGGAACAAAGCTGTGGAATGATCTTCCTGAAGAAATTAGATTAAGACATCGAGGTTATATTTTCGGAAATATCTTTTCATCTACCTTCATGTAAATGACGTGGGTTCAATCCCAACTCACCCCCTCTCCTTTCTTTTTTCCTTTGAATTTACATGTCTTCTTTTTATATATGTATGCACTTGCCAGTTAACAATTATAGATGACCTTAAGCTTTTACTTTTACGCATATCTGTATGATTTTATTTTTGATTAATAAATCCTTTTCATTTCATGGATATGGTGATGATTGTATTTGTTCAAACATTTGTTATCTTTCATTATAATGCTTTAGCTCTTAAATTTGTGCGTTTTTCTTTCTTTTCTTTTAGAAAAGTAAACAGGTTACATGATGCTCTATTATTATTTGTCTATCTATGTAAATAAAACACAAACAAGATTTAAATTCATATGTACAAACACATTTAAAAAAGAAATCTTCCCAAAGTTTGGAACTGGGCTCGAGCAGCACCTGTGCCAACATATAGTTCCCATTACCAACTTCATCTGAATATTAGTAATACACATATTTACGTGTATATATTTTGTGTATGTAATAGTATGCAGATATATGCCTAAAATCGTATTTAAAACCATTACTGTTTAATCAACATTACTTTTCTGTTATGTAGACATTCATCAGTATTATTCTTTGCATTGTATGATTGTTCATATGTACTGTTATTATAACGGATGTGTTTTTGTTTTAAATTTAGATTTAAATTCAGATAAAACTAATAAATGCGTGTTTCATCTTAATGTACACCTCTCCTACAATGTACTTAAAGCAAAACTGGTTTAACCTCGTCTTAAACTTATTTCAATAATAAACATAGGATATTCAAGAGATAGTGGTATTTTCATATTTTTACTTGAAAAAGTATGCAAAAAATTCACAGAAACGTGAATTCGTTATCACAATACAATGATATTTAGTGGATTCAGTGGATTCCAAGACAACAATTAATGCATTATGAGAAAGAAGAGGGATATTAATGGTATGTCATTTTCATATAGTGAATATTCGTGTAAATTATCAAGAAACAGGGAATGACTGCGTTAAATAACTTCTAACATTTGAAGGAAAGATTAATCAAAATTTATGAGAATAAAACAACAACACAAAATATAACAGCATATTTATATAAAAAGGCTAATAAACAAGAGTCGAGTTTTCCTATATGAAGTGCTCATCGAATCTAAAACTGGTAGTAATTTATTCAAGTTGGTTTTTCGTAGACTTCATAGCTCCGAATGGGATCTCCATTTTGTTTGAGGTATGGTTCGACATAGAGTGACTGGTCACCTCCAATGTACTTGGCATAACCGTCAGGAACGTCCGGAAGAGGGCCTCTGGATCCCTTCTCATCTTGAAGAGTGTCTTTCGATGATGTTGCTAAATCATAGCCACGACTGTAGATTATAAAATGAAATTGAAACAAATATTGTGTTCAATTAACATTTACTTTACTATTCAGATTTCAATTGAATCGTTAAATTAGGGGAACTATAAATGCGCTGTTCATTATGTAAAACATTTCTAACATTTGAAAAAATTTTGAAATAGAATATTGATGAAAGAATATCACATCATGTATTTTTTTTTATCAATATTTGTCTTCGAACGCATTTCTAGGGGGGGGGGGAATCTTTGCAGAAATGTGTCTCAAATGACACCCTCTTTCACATTAAGATACACTTAAAGCGAAATTTTACCATCTTTTTGTTGCGAATCTGGGAATCCCAACACTTTAAAAGGGGATTTAAGGTTGCATTTCATAAACACTATCTTTCTTTTCATTTATTAAATAATGTTTTCAATTAAACACTTCTGTTGGTTCAGCTACTTTTAAAAGATATATCTATACAATAACACAGACACAAATTGCCTGAATATGTCAACGTATTTTCCAAAATTATCTCACAAAGTTGGTTAGGATTTTTTTACCGGAGTTTATTAGTGCTGTTATTCTGTAATATTGTTTTCCTTCTAAGATGATACATAAAATGCATCAAAAACCACGAAACCACCTCGTTCCTCGATTGCAAGGAAACGCTTTCCCATGTACTGGTAGTTTTACGAATTATGAGGACGAGCGACGGGGGTTCAGCCTCCTTCCATAAGTCCCATCACATTGAGTTAATTTGAAATGAGTAATTGATGTTAAAAGGGTAAAATGCCTGGAATCAACTGAGAGTCGATTTTTATCATGACATATGTTGTGCATAAAGAGAAAATACACTGAAAACATATAACAAGTTATTGTACATATCTACACATTATAGCGTACCGAAGCTGTGACATCATAACAATCTTTTTTTTTTTTTTTTAGAATTTCTCAATTTTTTCTTCATTTTCCAAAAGACCAACAAAAAGAATGTCCGAATGTCGAAAACCAATTTAATATATTAAGTATTGGCTGAGATATGACCCTCTGAATAAATAAATGTTCTATGGAAACTCAGTGTTATAGTCCTCTGGTTCTTGATGTTATGAACCAGAGCACTATAACACCGAGTTCCCATAGGACATATTTTTGCAGATGGTCATATCTCAGCCAATGCTTAATATATTCAATCGGTTTTAGCCTTTCGGACATTATTTTTGATGCTCTTTCAGAAAATGAAAAAATAAATGAGAAATTCTAAAAATTGTTTTTTGAAGACGTCACACTTTACCACTTTGTAAGATTATTATGGTAAACATTAACTTACTTTCTCACGAAGATAACAAACGCCGCCATACACATCAGAACAAGGATGAATAAGATGACAGCTGTAACCAGAAGACCGGTGATAAAGTAATCCCTTCCCTTTTGCTCACTACTAGAATATGCAATGCGCTCTGGGAATGCAGGTTTTCTTTCTGTAAATATAAGTAATTTGGTTATAAGCAAACACCACAATATCAATATATATATATATATATATATATATATATTTGTATTAAATTGCAGTAATTGAATTTGGATTCGTATTTGTATTTATATATATATATATATTTTGTTTTGTCATTTGTATATATGTTTGTATTTGTATTTTTTCAAAAAAAGTATTTGCATATGAATTTGTATTTGTATTTGTATTTTTTTTTCGTATTTGTATTTGCATCATTTGATTTTCAGGTGCATCATTTACATTGGTTTTTCAATTTGTATTCTTCTTCGTATTTGTAATCGCATTTTGTAAATGTTTTTCTTATTTGTATATATATCATTATTATATGTGTGAATACATTCTTATTCTATTTGTGATTCTTTTTCTCAGATATTCGTTAGAAAACAAACAAACAGCAAATTCCTGTATATGATAACTGTAGCCCTATAAATTATGTGAAACAAACTAAAACGCTAACAAGAGAAATGATCATAACAAAAATTTTAGCTAGAAAAGAATACACGGACAAAAAAAGTAGGGAGGTAAATAATAAACAATAATAATGAAATCCCAAATAAGTAAATTGATGCACTATTATTTATAATTATCAAAGAGATGACCTTAATTTGTAAAGCAGTATCCTTTCTCTCCTTACAATTTGTTTTTCTTTCCCATCTTATGTCTAAAATGATTTAGCTTTTGTTATTCATCACCTTGTTTTACTTGGTCTTTCAGCAGAGCATATATTGTGCAACGTAAAAGCTAGTGTAAACTCTCCCTAATTTGTGGCGGCGGACAGGCATGCTCTCATATTACTTATATTTACATGTAAAAGGACCTGTTTACATTTATTACATTAAATCTTTTAGTATGCTACATATTAAGATGATAATCATTTACACCATAATTATTATAAAATGTAATACAAGATTGCTACCATAGTCTGGTACCAAATTATCCCGTTATATCAGACTTTTCTAAGTGCATAATAACCTCCGGGCTGTGGACAATCAGTAGAGCACTGGACAGAATTCCCACGCCACAAGCCATCTGTGTGACACTCCCAAGCGAACCAATCAGAGTCATCGTTACATGTGATGTTAACTTGGTCACCGATCTTGTAGCGAGGCTTAACATTTCCAATGAATGAGACGACGGGGATGATTGGTGGATTGCATTCTGCAAATGAAGTATTTAAACATTACACAAAACTGATTCACTGGATTAGGGTATATTTGTACACAAACAGAAAATTGTAGAATGTTCAAAATCAATAGCTTCTTCGAAGACTCTTCAATGATTACAGCACAATACTCATTCAAGAAGCCTCTTTCGAGCGCTTGTAGTTGCCTAAACAAGTGCAAATCTTTGATGATTGAAAATGGAACTATGTTTCGATCGTAAACGTAGTTACCTTGATTATGCACGGTACAAACTGTCCAATACACACACACTCTCAAATAGATCATAAGCTTTTTGAAGGGCGCTTACAATCTTTTATTGATCACATTACCTCTTATCCTCGTGTCATTTTTAGATAATAAACGTTATTAAAAATAAATAATGAACGAGTCTTCGTCTTCGTCTTCGTCAAGCACCTAAACAGTGTGAGTCAAAAAAAAAAGGTTTACACCTAGACAATTGCTATTTTTTTTTAAATCATCTATGAACAGTAAACAATTATACATCTTATGAAAGAGTGTTTTATCCCAAATAATTTGGTATCATTTTTGTGTGGTATGTGCTCACGCTTGGATGAACAGGAGGCATTGTTTGCGAGAGTGCAAAAATCGATTTGCGCCAAAGTTGCTTGTGTGATGCTTGAATAAACAAATTGGGATTTGGGTATTAATTCGGTCTTTGCAGATCCAAATAACGTCCCTAACACAATTAATCATGACATATATATCAAATATTGAATGTAAAATATCAACGAACATTTGTGCGCGTATGTGTGCGTGTGTGTGTGACTTTGCTTCTGCACAAAGCATATGCAATGCATTTTATTCAACCCATTCTCTAACTCCGCTTATCCCAACATAATACATGCTGTATGCATCACTTTGGCGCAATTCGATTTGTGCACTCTCGCAAACAATGCCTCATTTTCATCCAAGCGCAATCACATACCACACAAAAATGATACCAAATGATATGGGATAAAATACTCTTTCATAAGGTGTATAATAATTTACTGTTTATAGGTGATTTTTTAAATAATTAGCAATTTTCTAGGTGTAAACTTTTTTTTGTTTACTCAAACAGTATATACATGGTCGAAAATAGGCGAATGGGCATCAACGTGTTCAAATGACGTTAATAGAGGGATGGGATTCGATCCCTCAACCCTTCGACTGAGAGTCAATTGAATGAAGCCCTATACCACGACACCTATACATTTGTATTACATGAAATGACTTTACGACAGGTAGCTTTTTAAAAAGTATGTTTTGCATACCTTTGGGAGGGTCAGGGCAAACTATGTTTTGGCCTATCCATATTCCATCGTCACATGACACGTCGAACCAATCAGAACCCACGTTACATGTCACGTTCATCCTGTCACCGTCTTTGTATGAGAGACGAAGATTCTGAATGGTTGAATCAATAGGCACTGCTGGTGCACTGCAGGAGGCATGTGATGGAGGAACTGTGGAGAGAATATATGCAAACAATATTATGGAGGCCACGAGGTACTGTAATAATGGGAAGCGTTGGTTCATTTTTTAGGAATTCTTTAGGATATTTTTTTTTTTTTAATTTGATTTTATTTCTGCACTTTTTCCATATTAAATATAACTGAATAACAAAGAACATATAAATGTAAGGTATAATACAACATAAATAAACAATAATTTCTTCATGTAAAAATGTTATTTTTACATAATATATGTACATATACTAACGAAACTTAATATTTCCATAACATATAATCATAAAGTATTAACCAAACTATTCTGTTGGAAAAGTGCAGGAGACCGCAATCATGAGCAAAGCTTGACAAGGATGGCGGCCCCAAAAAACAAAAATAAATAGATTTAATGTGTGAATTAAAACAAAAAAAGTATTGAACAGGTGATTTGAACCTCTCTCAAAAATACCTGTACGACTCTGCTCAGTAAAGACAAGTTTTATTACTCACACAGAACCAATACCCTTCAACAATTTTACACTAGATATTTTTCATTGTAATGGCAATTCAAGCGTTTTTAAGTTTGGGACAGCAACACATAAAAGAAAAACAACATTTATATTTGAAAATTTGCTTTAAATCCACAAATGTTACTAATCAAGGTTAAAAATATTCGTCCTTATCATATGTTAAGGACAATGGAATAAAATTGATAGGTGGTAAGATTTGTTGTTGAAGAAAGTTTGTAGGTTAAGGTGTGAAAAGGGATATCAGATTCTGGAAATCGAAGAAATGAAAAGAGAAAAAAAGAAAGAAACTGTAATGAAAAACAGTTAAAGTTATAAAACAGGATTGAGTTATATATGTACTTTGTATATTTTGTTATATATGTACTTTGTATTTTTGTTAATTAACAAACATCACATTCTCGGGGAAAAAATGTTATTCCAAATATCAGTGATTATTGTAAGGGATTAAGCGAAATATTTGTGCTCGTTTCAGTGCGCGTTCATGTTACTTTTATATTTATATTGTTATACATGTACTTCTCCGGGCCCCATTTATGCCATGGTTATGGAACTGGTAGTGGAGATGATAATGAAAGAAAACATGATGATGATGATGGCGATGATGAAGGTTGAAACCATTCCTGTTGCGTGCTGGGGAGTATAAGAAAGAAAACATTTCAAATATAATACCAAAATATATTTACTTACATGAAGCTGGCAATGTCGGTGCTGCACAAGATATATCAGGGCCATCCCATAATCCACTTGCCTGACACCGCAAGATAAATTGATCATTGTTTGTGTCACATGTCACTGTCACTGTGTCATCGTAATTGTAGTTCAAATGATGACTTTCAATCGAAGAATATCTCGGAATATAAGGTGCACTGCACAGTGTTGGAGCTGTCATATTCACAGCATTTGGGGGAAAGAAGAAGAAAAGTTCAAACCTGAAACCACTGAAACCTCAAAATAAAAAATCACATTATACAGTGTGTCCCAGAAAAAACGAAACCGAGAATTATCGATGTTTCACCATAACTTAATCACAATTATAATTAATAAATGACTCATATCTATACAGCTTAGATCCTCTTCTTTCATTTGATGTAACTCATATGATGCATATTTCACGCATAAGTGATTAACATCAATTTGAAGAGAGGGAACCAAAAAGTTATTTGGCGTACGGTATCTAAATTTCAAAGGGAAAGTCACATCTACAGAAAGTTCAGTTTCTGCCCTTTCATATGCCACCTCAATCATGAAAAATGAGCAAGGAATATTAACGTTCTGTTTGTTTAAAGTGATGCTTGCATTTTCATAATTTGATTTAAAAGGTTCGTTTTCACTGGCTGCATGCCATAGCAACAAGCAGATTTGACAAATGACTTAACTCCGTTTCGTTGACAATCAGCCATGCATAAAGTCTTTCGGCTATGTCTGATCGCCAACAAAACGGAAAGTCCTTATATTTTAACCAAAAAAAAAAAAAAAAATTAATTTAAAATGTAAAAGAAACACAAATTAGACTACTTTACAATTGATACGAACATAAATATTTTACTGCATTCAATAACAAATATAGCAAGATACTAAATAAGAAAAGGAAAACCCGAATGAACGTATTTCTATAAAAGGCAAACATTGTAGACAACATCAAATGATGTATAAGATATTGAGGAGTGGAAGAATGAGGATAGAGAATTTTATTTAAAAAACAGGATAGAGGGGTAGAGAATAGGGATATTTATGGAGAACGGTATGAATAAATATATAATTACACATGCAGTGTTAAAAAAAAGAGAATGAGGATGGTACAAATTTTTGACAAATAGTAAAAATCTACTTATTATCATGAATATCTTTTGTTCTTTTTAAGGTAAACCGAGCACATTACCAGATAAATCAGATAAAAACAGAATATCTTACGTTTGGCTGGTTCTCGGCAAGACATTTCCGGTCCACTCCACATTCCACTGTTGTTACAGTGAAGGGTAAAACGATCGTTGCTTGCATCACAAGTTACAATCACGTCATCACTTGAGTTGTAGGTTATTCGGTAGAATGCAATGGTAGAATGTCTTGGAATAACAGGAGCACTGCATTGAGATGGAGCTGCTTGAAAAGATGTAACATAACTTCATTGGTGGGTAAGGTTCGATGCAACAAAGAAATCACGTATGTAACATAAAAACATGAATAAATAATCAGGTAGTATTAAAAACAGCATCAGTAATAGAACGAAAACAGTAAAAATACAACTGTCAATAGCATTGTTAAGCCAAGTCTAGCACAGACAACGATGATATTAGAATAGAAATGTGAAATGTGAAGTCAACACTATTTGTAAAGCACCTTACACATAACATTGCCCTTATTATTGTAATTTGAGCATTATTTTCAGCTCCTCAGCATGTATTCGTATCAATTATTCACACTGACAATATAATATCTCAATGACATCGCAGTCTGTCCCAGGTAAAATGATAGATTGTCTTATTTTCCCCCGAGAATTAAGTATACAAAATGTATTAATAATTAGACAAGGACAATGATACAATTAAATGACCATGCTGATTGTGTAGTTATACCAAAATGTTCAGACAAATTATCAAGAATAATGTTCTAGGTTCCCACACACATACATACATAATTATTCAATTTATTAAAACAAATGTCGTTTTGAGTATGGTAAAATGTTAATGATAGAAGTTTAATTTTCCATCACTCTGGTACACGTCAATGTCCATGTACATGCAAACGGACAAGTCGTATGTCTAAAATTTGCAAGCAGGCCACACAATTACATTTTTAATATGGTAAACATGTTATTTTGTTATAGATACATCAGGCATTTTGGGGCAATTTTATTTATGTTGGTCAAACTCTTTTTTAAATTGTAAACTCTCACAATTGGCGCAGCACATGTCAGTGTTCTTTGGATCTAATTTCAGATTTATTATATATATCTCCACCATCATGATCGTTGATTTGGGGCTTGTATTATGAGAAAAGCGGTCGAATTCGAAGGGGGAGGGGTAAGTTTCTGGCAAATAAAATGAATGCAATCAAATGAAAATTGAAAGTCTTACCTGGGGTAGGTACGGGGCAAGAAACTTCCTGGCCACTCCATTGGGCTTTCGTGTCACACCAAAGGGTAAACCGATCACTGCTATTATCACATGTCACAGAAATACTGTCACCATAGTCATAATTCAGTTGCAAGTGTTGAATGGTTGCATATCTCGGAACGTAAGGGGCGCTGCACTTCTCCGGAACTGTTTCGAAAATCAAGTAAAGATGATACTTGGTAGAACAAACATGTATCTAATTTAAATGTCCTTTGAGTATTATCTGAATTTATCCTTAAGCGTAAACGGAGTATAACAAAAAAAGTAAGATGCTGCTGAGTGATAACACAGACAAAATTAAGTGGATGAATACTAATTTGTTTGACTACAATCACGAACAACAGCAATTGTTTAGTTATTTATACACGTGGAAGTCGTAGGAGTATTGGGGTGCTAAATATTATGTATTATTTACAAGTTTATCAATAGTAGGTGGGTAGATGAATGAATAATAAATGGTGAATAAATGAATAATAAATGAAGCTAACCTTCTATCGGCTGTGTGCAAGAAAGTACACTACCCGTCCAAAACCCATCTGAGTTGCACCTAAGGGTATACGACCCGTCTGTTCTGCCGTCACAGGTGATTGTTACACTCTCACCGATGCTGTAGACTAAACGTATGTTTTCAGCTGATGCATACTTTGGGATATATGGACTAGTGCATCGTGTAGGGGCTGTGAATGGAAATACAATAAGTATGTTAATACAAAAACAAAAAAAAACATTTTTAGTTTAGACGGAGAAAGTTTTGATCAATATCTACAGTTTAAACTAGAAGCTGACTTATTGATACCACAATGCTACAATTATAGATAATGTCAAACACCTTTAGGAGCAATATCGCAGCAATCAATTTCGAACCTTACGTACTGGACCTCCTAACTTGAACTATTAATACCTATCTCTATAAATTCTTCGTCTCGAGATAGCCTTAGTTATAATCACAAGTGACGATATATCCGGAGTTCTCATGTTAAGCCCAGTTCAAAATGTTACCTGATAATAAGTCGGGTCTACAGTTACGTGCCAAGCCAGTCCCTCTGTTAATGTCATAGCATATTTGGCAATTATATTGTCGTTGATTAAACCCTTTTTGGAAATGCGAACTCTTATAATTTGCACAGTTACTTTTCCCTGGATCTAATATTAGGATTTAACATATCTTCCTCAATCATCACGACCATTGATTGATGGCTCGTATATTGCGGAAGCCAGTCGAAAGGGGGGGGGGGGGGTTAGGTAGAAACATCGAATAAAATAAAACAATAAAAAAATAAAAGTCTAACCTGGGGTAGGTACAGGACATGACACTACATGTCCGTTCCATCGACCTTTCGTGTCACACTGAAGGTTAAACCGATCACTGCTATTGTCACATGTCACGGTAATGCTGTCACCATAGTCATAATTCAGTTGCAGGCCTTGAATGGATGCATATCTTGGAACGTAAGGGGCACTGCACTTCTCCGGAACTGTAACGAAAATCAAGTAAAGATGATAGTTGGTACAACAAACATTTATCAACTTAAAATGTAATTTGAGTATATCTTTGGACGTAAAAGGAAGATTAAACTATAATGTCGTTGAGTGATAACACAGACAAAACTAAGTGGTCGAATGCTTAATTTTTTGACCACAATCACGAACAACAACAACTGTACAGTTCATTATATTCGTGTGTGCGTAGGGTCATAGGTGATCTATATATTAGGTATTATTTACAAGTTCTTTACAATTGATAAGTATAGGTAGATAAATGAATAATTGTTATTGAATAATATTTATAGCTAACCTTTTATCGGCGGTGAGCAGGAAAGGACACTACCCGTCCAAAACCCATCTGAGTTGCACTGAAGGGTAAACGACCCGTCTGTTCTGCCGTCACAGGTGATTGTCACACTCTCACCGATGCTGTATACCAAACGTATGTTTGCGGCTGATGCATACTTTGGGATATATGGACTAGTGCATCGTGTAGGGGCTGTGAAAGGAAATGTTTTTTTTTTAAATATTATTTGTAGTTTAAACAGAGAAAGGTATGATTAAATACACAATTTAAACTAGTACCTAATTTACAGATACCACATGTACGTGCTAGAATTCTAAATAATGTCAAACAGTGTTACAACCAATACCGCAGCAATAAATCTCTAACCCTACGTACTGGACCTCCTAGCTTTACCTATTAACATCTATGTCTATTGTTGTTGTTTAAACTCTGCTGGAAATAAATTCTTATTCGCTCAGAAACTGGCAGTTTTCCCTGGATCTAATTTCCCTTTTCTGCTATCCCCCTTTACCATCACGGCCATGAATATTGGGCTCGTAGATTCCGAAAGCTAATCGAAATTGGGGGGGGGGGGGGGGGTTTCAGACAAAAACAATTAATCAAATCATATTCAAATCAAATAAATTAAACATTTTAAAAAATCTTACCTGGGGTAGGTACGGGACAAGAAACTTTCTGCCCACTCCATCGACCTTTCGTGTCACACTGAAGGTTAAACCGATCACTGCTATTATCACATGTCACAGTAATACTGTCACCATAGTCATAATTCAGTTGCAGGTTGTGAATGGTTGCATATCGTGAAACGTAAGGGGCACTGCACTTTTCCGGAGCTGTACAGAAAATAAAATAAAGATAATAGTTGGTACAACAAACATTTATCTACTTGAAAACTTATTTGAGTATATCTCTGGACGTAATCTGGAGAAACAAAGAATAATGAAGTGGTTGAATGCTATATTATGTTGACCACAACCACCAAAAAAAAAAACAATTGTTAAGTAAATTGCAAAAGCCAGTCGAATTATTATTATCATTATTATTATTATTATTATTATCATTGTTATGATTATTATTTATTTATTTATTTATTGTTTATTTATTTATTAAATTTTTATTATTATTTTTTTTTTAAATTCATTTATTTATTTATTTATTTATTTATTTATTTTTATTTATTTTTTGTTGGGGGGGGGGGAGTTTTAGACAAAAACAATTAATCAAGTCGAATCAAATACAACAAAAGTCTTACCTGGGGTAGGTACGAGACAAGAAACTTCCTGCCCACTCCATCGACCTTTCTTGTCACATTCAAGGTTAAACCGATCACTGCTATTGTCACATGTAACAGTAATCCTGTCACCATAGTCATAATTCAGTTGCAGGCCATGAATGGTTGCATATCTCGGAACGTAAGGGGCACTGCACTTCTCCGGAACTGAGAGAAAATCAGGTGAAGATAATAAATCGTAAAACAAACATTTATCTACTTGAAATGTTATTTGAGTATATCTCTAGACGTAACCGGGAGAAATAAAGTATAATTTCTTGAATGATAGCACAAACAAAATCAAGTGGTTAGATGCTATCCTTTTTTTTTAAACCACAATCACGAACGACAACAACTGTACAGTTAATTATATACGTGTGTGCGTAGGGGCATAGGTGCTCTATATATTAGGTATTATTTACAATTTTTGACAATTGATAACTATAGGTAAATAAATTAATAATGATTGAGGAATAATAAATAAAGCTTTAATATACAGGGGGTGGGTTCAGACGAAAACAATGATTCAAATCAAATAAATGTACAATTTCAAAAAGTCTTACCTGGGGTGGGTACGGTACAAGAAACTTCCTGCCCACTCCATCGACCTTTCGTGTCACACTGAAGGTTAAACCGATCACTGCTATTATCACATGTCACAGTAATGATGTCACCATAGTCATAATTCAGTTGCAGGTCTCGAATGGTTGCATATCTTGGAACGTAAGGGGCACTGCACTTCTCAGGAACTGTAAAGAAAATCAAGTAAAGATGATAGTTGATACAACAAATATTTATCTAGTATAATGTTGTTGAGAGATAACAAGGACAATATTAAGTGGTTGGATGCTATCTTTTTTTTTTACCACAACAACGAACAACAACAAATGCACAGTTAATTAAATATGTGTGTGCGTTGGGGCTTAGGTATTATTTACAAGTTTTTGAACATTGATAGCTGGGTACATGAATAATGATATAATTAATAAATGATTAATAAATAAAGCTAACCTTCCAACGGCGGTGGGCAAGACTGGAAACCACCCGTCCAAAACCCATCTGATTTGCACTGAAGGGTAAACGATCGGTCTGTTCTGCTGTCACAGGTGATTGTTACACTCTCATCGATGCTGTAGACCAAACGAACGTTTACAGCTGATGCATACTTTGGGATATATGGACTAGTGCATCGTGTAGGGGCTGTGAATGAAAATGCAAGACGTATGTTTAATAATATAGCATTAGTAGTTTAGACAGAGAAAGTAATGATCAATATCTATAGATTAAACTAGGAGCTGATGTATTGATACCATGATGTTAATGCTACAATTATGGATAATGGCGAACAGTTTTACGACCAATAGCGCAGCAATGGAGCTCTTACCCTACTGGACCTCTTTACTTGAACTATTAATACCTAACTTTATATAATGCTTCGTCTAGACATAGTGTTGATCGGTCCTACATTACGATAATGAGCCGACATGTTACCTGATAATAAAAAGTCAATTAAGAATTACAGTAACGGGCGCTTTTCGCTGAATCTAATATTAGGATTTAATAAATCTTCCTCCATTATCATATCCATTAATTTGGGGATCGTCTATGACGGAAGCCAGTCGAACTTTTCCTGTCAGGGGATAAGCTTCATGTACCAATTCACATAATACCTTTAAATGCCGTCATATGGTTCGCTTCTTTATAAACCTCAATACTAACAAGGCAGCATATCTATTCATATATTTCAGTCGTTGTCAATGTTTATGATCTAAAGTGATCGAAATTTAAAAAAAACTCGCAAACTTGACTCTTATCGGTGTTCTATTTTTAGTCCCGTATATATATATATATATATATATCGTCTGTGGCAATAATGGATATACATATGTGATAGATACCTGAGACAGGTGGCGGGCACGACTGCATAGGTCCACTCCATAACCCAGTGGTTTCACACAGAAGACTGAACGGTTGAATGGTGGTATTGTCACATCTGAATGTTACACTGTCACCAAGGTTATAATTCGGGCTAAGGGTTTCGAGCGTTGAGTATCTCGGGACTGAAGGAGCATTACAGTTCGTTGGAAGAGCTAGGGTTAAGGGAAACAAATTTTAAGTTACCTGCTTCATAACTGTACGAAATGTCTACAATTGTTACTTTATGTCTGCACCCTTCATGTGGAGGATTGCGTAAACTAAACTAAAAGAAAACAATATGTCTCACTTTCACCAAATTGCGAATGCTTCTCGCGAAATGAAGTGCCACAAGAAAAAAAAAGGACTAAAGAACAAAAGAACCAATCACGCTGCAACAAACTCAGCACTACCATTTTGGGATTAGTGCTCATCAGGTTTAATAGCATTCCGAGTTCACAGTATTTTGGCAGCTAGGGATTCTTTCGGGTAATTAAGTTGGACTATGGACATGTGTTTATGAACAGAGCGAAACATTCTTTTGAAAACGTTTCGTATTGGGACGAACATATTCACGCATGGTACTACCTGTCGCAGTGTAAGGGGTTTTGATGCATTGTTTAGATTCAAATCTTAACAGAAGCAAAGTTATCCTAAAACGGGTACGGATTTGAATATTATCTTACCCCTTGCGGTCGATTCAGGGCAGGATACAGTCGGTCCACTCCATAGTCCTTTGTTATGACACTGAAGGTTGAAGGTATCAGAACTGGCATTGCACGTCACGGTAATTTTGGCCCCAAAGTTGTAGTTGAGACGAGGATTTGTAACATGTGCGTGTGCGGGAATGTACGGGGCACTGCAAGGAATTGAACCTGTAAGCAAGGTCGTAATAAATGATATTAAAGTGATTAAAGAAAAAACTTGTACATTGCAATTTGAGATTACCTCACACAATAATATGCAGTGACAAATTATATGGTGAGAGTGATGAAACTTCGAAATTTAAGGATCATGGAAAATATTTCGACGTTATTCTAATGATTCTTCTTTTTCATTTAATTCAATATGGATCCCTTGAAAAGGGTTGAAGACGGTAATCATTAATACCAATTGTCTTCTGGAAGTAACTGCGGGGAAGGGGTATGTGAGGAAAGAAACTTCCAGTTAAACGCATTACCTAGTTTGTAGCATATCATTATTTGCTTTGGTCTTGTGTGACATTTAATCAAATGTGTTTATTTGGAAGGGATATTTGGATATGTTTTGCCCCGTCTCCTTTGTAATTCTGCTTGTGGTAATGTTTTTTTTTATACCAAATGGATATCAGTTAGCAGCATTATTTGTATAATGGCCCTTCTTATTGTGTACAAAAGTTGTATTGAATCATGAATAAAAGCTCTTTAGGAAAGTAAGGAACAGCCATTTGATTGTTGCTCATTCTGATCTGTCTAAAAATGGGATGTTGGTGTACTGCTTTTAATACAGCATGGCTTTAATACACACTTTATTTTTCAGCTTCCCCGTCAATACTTCTACTACGGAGGTATCGGTTTTCAAACGTTGATCAAACGACTGGCGATGTGCTATTCACCAATTTCAATTTGATACATTGCATATAACGAACGTTTGTGTGGATGGTTTTTAATTCTGTCCAGTGTTTGGTTTGTTATTTGTTTTACCTGCCTGCTAAGA